ATCTGTGCTGAATAAGCTGATGATTTAATGCAAAAGTTTATTGTTTCACAATCTCCCTGTGATGTTTTCTATTTTGTATTACATTTGGGGTCTCTTTGCACCTGCTTCGGAAATTGAAGTGCTAGGACTGTTTTCTGCTGTAGTCTCTCCACATCTACTGCATCCTACTTCCCTCGTGTTCTAGAGCCTACTCATTTTACACACTTGTAAAATTTCACTGTCTTTAATCTCACATGACTCTTTTCTCAACAGGCACACTTGGCTTAGAAACAAACACCTTCTGGTCTAAGAGGTTTACATAGAGAAGCAAAGGATCTAAAGCATGGGCCAGTGCTCGCCAACAAGGGGCCCAGAGGGTCTGCAAACCCACAGGAAGCCTGGCACTGTCTACTGCAACAGGCATTTTAGATCGCAACAGACTGGGCCTAGAGTGTGAATGAACCATCACACTTATATTACATAATGCATATGATGTATGTAGTATGTAATATATACATATGTAATTTTCTAGTGTATGTAAATAGTACTGATTAATAAAATTTCTCTTCAAGGCCTTACAGGTCTCATAACTTCATACATTGTGTTGCATTTCTTTTCTCAATCAATAAATTACCATCAACTGATAAGAAATTTAAAATTCTTATAAATGAAAAACGTTTCTTTGGCTGGAACCTTCACACCACAAGTTTCGGCTGCACTCAGGACAATGGGTTGTGTGTTCTGACTGAGCTGCTCAACAGCTGGCAAGTCACAACATCTGGGAGTCTTCGTTTCCTCGTGTGTAAAATTAGACTATCATTTCTGTGGCCTGCTTCACAGGGTTTAGGAATTCAAAAGAAAAGGAAAGGGTGTTGCACAAATTGTAAAGCGCTCCATGAGTAAAGCAGCTAGGGGCAGCTCTGTACTTGGATTGCAGGCTTTGTGAAAAGGCTTCAGTTGCTTAGACCAGAGTGTGAAGTCCCTGAGCTCAGATTGGAGGCAAGCCAAGCAGATGAAGTAAAGGAATGTTTGGAAATGGAGTTCCAGGTCAAGGCATGTGCAGGGTAAATTCCCTTTGAGGCTACACAAGACAAGTTCAAAGGTTTACAATATTCCAGAATACCTCACAAACATTGGCAAATCCTAATCTGACCCATCTCTGGGTTGTGGGACTGTTTTCACCCCTTTCATCCCAACATAAACAACTGTGATAGTATGTTGCCACTGACAACTAGAGTTGAATAAATCCAGCCAGATGTGAACTGAACCCTGAAACCCGGTCATTAGCCAAGGTCACGACTGGTTTAGAAATTTGTGATGTTTTCTTGCCTGTTTCTTGCCAGGGATATGTGGCACTCTTCCCCCTTGCAGTTTGCAGTCTGCTGGGCTCAGAGCCATGCGAGGCTGTTTTTAATGGCAAAATCTTCAAAGTTTTACTTAAAATATTTGCATCATAAAACCCCTCATGGAAGCCAAATTGCAGTTTCAGGAGGGGCCTCCCAGTAAGCAGCAAAGTAGCCTCAGAGACGAGGCTCCTGCCACCAGCAGCACCTTTCAGCAGTTGGTCTTCGCAGGCTAGTGACACACTCCTGGGTAGGAGAGAGCCACAATGTCTGGGGACAAACTCCAAATGGCTTTTATAAGCCAACAACAGTGCGAGGTGACTCAGCAGTTAGTTGAGCAATTCAGAATACCGTGTTTGTCACACATTTAATTGATCCTGTGAGCAGGTAAGTGCTAAGGAGGGAAGGTGAGTAACCGTTCAGCCTCATGGAAGGAGGACTTTGTCTTGTTTCCAGCTCTATTCTCCTCTGTCCAGTATGGAACAGACATGTCTTGGGAGAGATGGGCTAAAGGGCATATGACTTCCTTTAAAAAATTAAAAATAAGAAAAAAGTAATCATTTAAATCTAAACTCAGAAAAGAAAAACTTGTGAGGAAAGGCAATTATCTTCCTTAGCAAAGAATGATCAATAGGACTAAATGGAATCCTTTTAAAATGAAATTGTCTACCATAGGGTTTAACTTGAAGAAATTGAACGTTAGGAAAGGGACACCCATAGGTTTTTACTTCACTGAATGGGATATGAAAACAGAGAAAAGGAAGAGCAGGGGAGATGAATGCTGGCTGGGAAGATGATGGGCTTTGGGGGAACACATCTGATGTTCTTTCTATGAGGAATGCAATGACAATCTTACCTTTTTGTCAAGAGACCTAAACTAAAACAATCATATTCTTTTTTTTTTTTATAAAAAGCTTGTGCTCAGAATTACAACCCTCATCCTTCACACATTTTTTAAAAAGCCAATTTAATTCAACAAGCTTTGTGATCTAATCATTACTCAAAGCTAAAGGTGGTTTTTCCATTAAAGCACCTCCGTCACTCTCACTTTCTGACCTGTGAATGTGCTTGTTAGCTGCCTTATTAAGATGATATCCTGTCTCTGAAGTAAGAAGAAAGATTATCTCCTTACCTGACATGTCATCATCAGAGTAATCTTTGTGGGGAAAAAAATGACGGTTAAATAGACATTAAAATTTATGGCACACTCTGCCATCAAAGAAGGACGTCCATGATGGAGTATATCTACTTAGTGGCTGAACCTTAGTGACGTACTCTCTGTGACCAGCAGAACCAGAAACAAAGGAGTGCCTACTTGATCTAGGTTGGTTATGACTGGGGATAAGACCTGGGTTTGAAGGACTCAGAGGATGAAATGAGGAACATTAAACCAGACAAATATAGACACATATAGAATTATAGAAATATGCCACATATGCTTGTTATATGTATATACAAACATGTACTAATAAAAACTAGTGAAGGGAAGAGAGCAGCCCAAAAGATCACCAGCACATCTGGGTAAACCACGACTGATGACATGGACAGAGGAGCCTCAGCCTCCCCCGTCTCTTCCCTTGGTCTTGTTTCCAGACTCACGGTGGCAGACAATCACCAAGCCCACTGCTGACAAAGGGGTCAGCTCCGTTTGCCTATTTCTGCCCCTTTTCATAAGGGGTTTCTGATAGAACAAATTTCTCCCACTCAAAGAAATAGAAAATCCACTTGGTTTACTGTCTCTGATGTGATATATTCAAATTCCTTGGCAGAAAACCTGAATAGCCCAGGTCCCACGCTCCTTCCTGTGCATGGGACAGCCTGGGCAGTTGTGGGTAGTTTGACCTCTGAGCTCTCTGTGGTCTAACTCCCCACAGGGAGAGGGGGTAGGGGATGGTGCTTAAATTACATATGATATAGATATATAATATTTTTATAATTTATATTTACATATATATCTGTATAAGACTCTATAGTCTCTTCTTTTTTTTAAACCTTACCTGAGGATATACTTATAGATTTTAGAGAGAGAGGAGGAAGAGAGAGAAAGAAAGAAACATGTGAGAGAAGCATCAAGGTTGCCTCCCATATGTTCCCCAACTGGGAATCAAACCCTTGGTGTTTCGGTTCTGGTATAATGCTCCAACCAACTGAGCTACCCAGCCAGGGCAGATTACATACTATTAATGGACTAAAGTGGTAATATAATAGTGGGAGCATCTTTTATGAGGGACAATTGAGTTACTCCACATCCATCTTCATCCAACTGTGCCTGCCTGCCCCATTTTGTGTCTTGGGATGCTCCCTGTGGTACTGGGCAGAGCCCAGCCTGGCTCTTCCCAGGACATGGTCTTCCAGTGACCCATGCAAGACCTTGTAAGGTGTCCTGGAGCCAGAAGTAAGTTTATTTAGACAAGGTTGCTTCATGGAGCATATTCTTACTTTTATGCTGACCCATATCTATTCCTGCTTCTCAGTATGGCTCAAATAGTCAGTTTTAATCTACAAATTCCTTTGTGATTTGGGTCCCCACAACATTCAATATTACCTTTCCTGCTCTATTTCTCACTGTCAGTTAAGATAAATAACCTGCAAGTTTTGTCATTTGCAATGGTCTTCCTGCTCAGTTAGAAAAGTAACAAATCTGCCCATCTTCCTTTTTAGCTTTATATACCTTGCATGCATATAAGAAACAAAGACATATTATTTACTTGGCTTGCTATACATCTCTTATTAGAACCCTAAGGTGATAGAATTTGGATTTAATGACAGGATGAGGGCTGCTATGACACCCAGCTGATGGGAGGCACTCCAAAAGAAAGACATTTTTGACAGGTTTTGGCAAAGTTTGCTCTTTGGGAGGGAACCACGTCGATATTTGTGCATAAAGACATACATGAAGGATGTACTGCTCTTCATACCATCAAAGTACCATGCAAATACTAATGACTGTCCATCTGCAAGATTTTGCAAAGCCTTCTTTCATAATTTGGGAAATAAGAGCCAGGTTAGCATTAGAAGTAAACTAGAATCTGGACATTTCTCTGGGCTCACCCATGTATTATTTCTTGTTAATACATGGTATGCTGAGCTTTGATGTCAAGCGTTTTCACTTCGGGATTTGCAGGCACTTTAGCAACCTGGCCATGGTTTACGATACATGATGTTGAGACCAACAGATGAAAACATGAGGGCAACCGAGGTCCTCATGACCCACATATGCATTAAAATATTGACATGAGAAGCATTTTTGCCACCATATTCAAGGCTAGATAGAATTCAATCCAAACATTTGCCTGCTCAAATGATCCAAAGGGAGCAAAGGGCAATAATAGAAACATTCATGTAGTTTTCTGTCTTTTTTTTTTTTATTTCCAGTTAATTCTAGTGTATTGGCTCCTTCAATTCAGAACTCCCCAGGCTTCTTTTGGCAGCCTGGGCCTTTCACGGGACTCATTCAGAAGGTCCCCCTTTCCTGTCCCCTCTTTCCTCAGGTGTTCAAATAGGCAATCAATCACCCATTTCTGTGTTTGCACAGACAGACATGAGGAAACTTTCGACTTCCACAAAATGTGAAAAAATAACCCACATCTGCTAATATACTTAAAAAAAAAATCCAGCTAGGAGAGTTTCCATAAGAATACTACAGACACCACCAACAACAGGAAGAAATATGCCTTTTATTATAAGTCTCATATGTACAGAGAAAGCTGTTTCTCACAGCTCAGGGCAGGCTGTGAGAGAGAGCCCTGCCATTGAAGGTCACCATGTTTACATTGGTACAACCACTGAAGCGTCACCGCACGTTATGAATGAATAGAACTGTTACACAGAAATGCAAAAGAGACATAAGTATGTGTATGGACACTTCACACATTTTCTAAAAACAAGTGGACACAAAATACAATGTGCCAGTAAAAAAAAAAATAGGCATAGCAATACATGTTGTTTTTTCTTTTCTTTTCTTGTTAATACATGGTATGCTGAGCTTTGATCTCAAGTGTTTTCACTTCGGGATTTGCAGGCACTTTAGCAACCTGGCCATGGTTTACGATACATGATGTTGAGACCAACAGATGAAAACACGAGGGCAACCGAGGTCCTCATGACCCACATATGCATTAAAATATTGACAGGAGAAGCATTTTTGCCACCACTGTTTGGGGACATCAGACTGTTCTCTGTGTGACATATGATAGGTTTTCTCTTATTTGTCTTTTCTGTTTCCTGCCAGAATTACTCAGTAGCAAGGAAGGCATCACCAGGCAGAGACACAGCAAGTGGACGCACTAGACACATGTCAATTCCAATCCACTTGAGGAGTGGTAGAAAGCAGATGAGTTTTTACAATCTCCGAATGACTGACCTATCTTTACGCCACTCTATGCCCTTCCTGCCAACCTGTCAATCAAAAACTAATGAAAATAATTACCGGGATGTATTGGGCCAGAAGCTCATCCTGGGAGTATTTCCTTAGCTACCACCTTCCACATCGTGACATACATAGGGCCGGTGGGCAGGCCAGATGCCAATCCCTTCCCACCAGGGGTCCCTCCTGTCTCCCACCTTCCCTACCCAGATCTATGGTGACTCAACACATGTGTTAGGAACATGACCGGACAAGTGTATTTATAATCTCAGACTAGAACGATCTTTTTATTGGTGATTTTTGAGTTATAAGGCAGTTACAAAACGGGCCCCATGATTAACCAGACAGTGTAGAAACATGGCTTAGCTGCTTTATAACATGAAGGAACTTTTCTGTTACAAGGAGCTGAGAATGAAAAGGGAAAACATACCAATTATAAGTGACTGTGCTGTGAAGTACCATAAAGCCCCAATTTCTGGAGTATGTCACCCACTTTCATCCACCAGAAACTGAGATGTTGCCTCACATCTCAGAAAACTTCAAGGGAATAAAAAGAAATCAGCATTACCTCGGCCTCAAGATAGCTGGTCACCACTAGTTGAATGGAGCTATAACACAAAGCCACAAACCTGCCTTGAGTTGGGCCCAGAATCCCTGGTCCTCCAGAGAGATGCAGGGCATATGAATGCTTCAAGCAGATGATTGTCAGATGGTGGGAAATCCTCCCATGAAACACACTTGAGATGTATGGCAAAGAGAATAAGGCCTACCATCTCTTTGCCCATGCTGCTTAAAGGCACTGATACCAACAACAGAAATATCCCATAGTACCATGGAGTTTTTTAAAAAACTCCCAAAATACATTCCTAAGTCTTCTTAGGAAAATGTCCTTTATTGCATGAATGAAGCATCCGCTCTTCTCAGGAATAGAAGGGTCTCCCTTTCTCCGGAGTCTGGAGTCTGTTCAGTCTAGCGACCTGAGAAGGGGAGGGGGGCACATCTTGCCGGAAGGGCCCCTTAGGAGGAGTGTAACTGGGGTCCTGGACTTTCTTATACGAGTCATAGTTGTTGAGCCCCTCGGGAGGGGGCTGCTTCTTCATCTGTTGCTCTTTCCGTCTCTGTTCCTGGCGGAGGAGTTCCTGGGTCTCCAGCATCACCCTGGCATTGAAACCATGCCCACCCAGGTAGCCGTTTCTGGAGCCTTGGTAGCTGGAGTACCTGGGGTTCTCCTTGGCACTCTGGAAGCCTTCCCCAGGTGAGTAGTTCTGCTCCCAAGAATCCTGGGAGACAGAGCTGGCGTTTTTCCGGCTTTGCCTAGGAAGCAAAGCCCAAAGGTCAGTGTGAGATTGGGAGGAGGGGAGAGAAAAAAGAGGAGAGAAGGTGTGATAGGGGAATACGCCTTTCAATATTGCAACAAATAGTACTGTGCTTCACTCATGTGCCAGACACAGTGACGGGGCTGGAGAAAGAGCACATGACTGCCCTCAGCAAGCGCAAGCCTTAGACAACTGAACAGCAAGGGCTAAACAGGACAGAGAACAAACAGACTCAGCTGCTCAGAAGTAGGGTTCTTCTTCCGTGTCTGGGGAGGTGCTGGTGCTCTGTTCAGGGTAACATACATCTTCTGCAATTTAGACACATTGGCAAGATGCCATAGAGGAGGATTAGAGATATGGCAGCAGCTAACCCAGCAATAATTGCTTGCTTCAGAACATTACAATTGAATTCAAACAAGCAGAGCAAATATTTTACACAGCTGCCACCAGGATGCCAAAGACGCTGGCTAATAGGAAGTACATGTAATGGATTACGATGAGTTCAGTTATGAAAGATTTAAGTTTAGACTCCTTTATAGTTAAAAATGCAACAGGCAGTCCCTTACAGCCCAGCTCTGAGTTGTGTATGTCAGCACCTGACTCTCCTCAGAACTCATGCTCGTCACGACTGCAGACCTGAAGTCTGCCAGAGCAAGCATACTTTTCCTGCACACTGTCCCCTCCCCAAAGGCCAGGACAGCTTACCAAACTCCCTCTTGGTCTGCACAGGCGAGGGGAATAAATCAGCCACACAGAGATTTCAAATTCTCATCATTTGTGCAATCAAGTTGCACATCATTTTCAGGAAACATTATTGTTTTGAAACATCTTTAATTTACTATCAAGTCTCTAGATGCTTTTATGAATTTACAGTAAAATTGGCTATGATAAAGTAAAACAATTTTGTGCTAGAAAGGAAGACATGCTCTAATTTTTAGCCTTGAAAATGGAAGAGACGGAAAGAGAATTGAGTAATAAAACAAAATCTATTGCTCCATTTATCAATAAGAAAACCATTTGGTGACAGTATGTATTGCTCAGCCTTTTGCATCAGCGCACACATAATGGAATGTTCAAAAGGGCCCCTGCAGAGGAGAAGCAGGGTCTACGCAGTTGCTGTGTCTCCCACAGGCATGAAGCGATGGACATTTCTGAACATTTGGCGGTGCCATCAATATGGTTTGGGATGAAACCTGTCCATTTTCTGTATGGCCTAAAATGTATTCTAGGATATTTTCATCTCTGGATATGACGATGATTAACTGAGCAGGCTACAGTCTATCTATCTGGTTTCGTTTTAAGGGGGATCAGACCATTTGTACAATCAGCCCCCACAAGTTTCCTTACATTTGATGGGATAGTTTATTTGCCTAAAGCACTGATTATCTTCACTTAAAAAGTCATAAATTAATCTGCCCAAAGACAGGAATGATAGAAAGTGCCAGCATGAAACCAGAGATTTGACATTAATCATGAAACTTTAATTAAAACAATGAACTTGTTACTGATGTTAGAGCAATGAAAGTGGGAATTCTTCATGAGTTAGTTATCAATCTAAAGATAACTGGAAATAGGCTGCAGACATTTCACCTCTTTTTCATCGTTGGCCTGCTGACACCCACTAACCCTCTTCATCCCCAACTCCCCAACTCTGGAAAGCACTATCGAAGTCATGCACCATAAGTTGAATTTTAAATCATTCCAGGAATATTGAGACTTCACTAAAGCCTTGATAGGGATGGAAACTATAATGATGTGGGAGAATTTCTTTTAGCTAAAATTTTCTTCAAATTAGTTAGTATAGAGAGAAGGAAGCAGATCTCCTGAGGAAAGTACATCTACATGTACACACACACACACACCCCCTCCAGCCCTTGGTAAGGAAGCTAGTGGTATCCATAGCTCTTGATTAAGACACAGGAAGTAAGCAGATCACAGAAATGCAAGAGCGCAGCAGACAGGAAGAGTTTCCTGTACTAGGAAAGTAGTACCCCAGACACTAGACACAGTGGGAGGGTGGCTTAGGATCAAGACAGACACGGATACAAGTCTGGAATCTGCCACCTGCCAGCTGGTGGATGCTGGGAGGGTTATGTTTTCTGGGTCCAACTTGCCTTGCCTGTGAAACAGGTATAATACGTAACCTCATAGGGTTATGGGGCAGAAATAAATAACTCATGTAAAATGCTTGGAAAGTGTGGCAGAGAGTAAACGGTTGTCTACTGGGTGTTGGAGGAGTCCTTTTCCCTCAAAGGGTAGGCTCTGGGTTTTGGGGGCATCTTTCTGGCCATAGAAAAAATAAAAAAATACCATCAGCTTTCTCTTCCTCGGTCAGAGAAACTGGGTAGAGACAAGAAGGAGAGACAGGCACTAGAGAATAACTGAAACCCTCCCTAAGCAGGGGCAAGTCCACATTGCTCCACAGAGATGAGACAGAAGCTCTTGGCTGTGCCACGAGAGGCTAATGGCCACAGTAACAGTGGCAGCAAGAAAACATTAATCTCCTTTCACTGACTTCCCTTATAACAAACATGCAAGTTTGTCTGGTCTTAGAATGAGGCCACTAGAAATTTCTGAATCCACTGAAAGCACATACGCTGGTTTGTCAGTAACTACCTCTGAGTGATTACAACGATCTCCGATGTGGTCTGAAGGCCATCACAGTGCAGAGGACTCAGAGCAAAGACCAACTGCTGGAGGAGAACTGCTGAGGTGAGGAGGATACAGGAGGATGAAAAAAGACATAAAGACCAAGGCTAACAAGTAGACAAGCAGCTCAAGACATAATAAATGGGCATGATGGGGAGACCATGTCAGTGTGTGAAGAAAGCAGAGAACTGACACATACAAAGCAGAGGAGTGAGACACCAACACAGTGAACCCAGGGGAGGGGGAAAGATGAAAAAGAAATGGGGAGACAGCAGGAACATTTAAAAGAACTATTAAAGGATCTTAAGTCTGTCAGTGACTATGACTGAACATACGTCTCAGTTTCAGAGTTGTCTTTTGGATAATAAATAAAGGAACTAATTTAGGACTAAAAATGGATTTAAAAAAAAGAAAGTAAAAAAGGAATAAAAAAACTAATTTAGGAATTTAAAAAATAAAAAAGAAATCTTAGTCTGATTGAGAATTGAGTGTGGGGACACCCCGGTCCCCTTTTCCTTCAGAACTAGTGTTACCACCTGGCTAATGTTTCCTACTGACATTTCAAAATGAAGCTGGAATTCTGCCTATAGCCTTCCTTAACTGCAATAAGAATTTCAAGCCACTCTGGCTCACATACATCCCTCTAATTCAAACCATCTTATCTAGCGTGACTGAGACAAAGTCTTGACCATTTGTTTTATTTTATGCTCTACTTGGCAACTGAACTATTTTTTGTGTGTGAACTCTTTTTGGTATCAAATGCCATACAAACTTGTTTAGATAAAACATTGCTAATTGTCAACATCCAACAAGCAGAGGTCACATGTCTCTGAAGAATATCAGACATCAGGGACGTGGACTGAACTAGAGCTCATGCAGGCTGTCACTGTCCTCCTGTGCCCTCCTGTGTGGTTTCTTTACCTCCCTTCAGGTGCTGCACACAGTATGCTGCGCAGTGCAGCCGCTCTGCTGGGAGTCAAGCTGGGCGCAGGCCTCCACAGGCCTAATTGTCTGCACACATGGGAGGTTCACATGGAGAAATTAGTCTCTAAAAGAAGAAAGCCTCACCAGCCCCACTTGTCTAAATATACACAACTCTAAAACTTTGGGTTTTCTGTGTTTTTCATATCTGCCAAGAATAAAATGGCTAATAATAAGGGGGTAACAATTCCCCAGAGGGAGAGTTTCAGTTATTTAGGGAAACACTGAGCAACACCAGTAGTACCAATAGAATTCTTCTACAGGTGCTTCAGGAGGAAGGAGCAAGAGGAAGGGAGGCAGAGAGAGGTATGGAAAAGGATGGTAGAGAGCGAAGAAGGGGGAGGCATGCAGGAGAAAAGGACTTTTTTGGAACATTGAACTCCTATGGAATGTCATCAGGAGAAACTCCGTGGAAACATTGATCTCCGTCTTCTTCCCAAGGCTTAGGATCCTTGCCCCTCTCTCGTCAGGGCATCTGCCCTTCCAGGCCTTCTGGCCACCATCTCTCCACCACTTCCCTTCCTATTCCTGTGCATGTCAACTCACTCCCCTTTATCATATTCTTCCTCCATTTCTTATGAATACTTTCCATCAAATTAAAATATACAACGCAAAACAATTTGCCAACAGACTAAGATCATAGTCCCATAACATACTTGTAGCCATTCACAGGGGCCATGATGTGCTATGGGTCCCTATATGGCTGTGGCAGCAGGGCCATGCCTGGTGTGTCAGTTCACCCACGTTATCATGCTCATCTCTCTGATGACTGCAAGCCAATAGGCTGGGAGAAGGGCACTCACGTGGAAGAAGCCATATGTATAATCTCCAAGGCGTCCAGCTGCTGATACACTGGGCTGACTCATACAGTGGCCTCCTTCCAAATGCTAAGGGCACTAGAGCACAGAGGGGGACTTTACACTCACATCTGTCAATATTCAAAACCTGGTAACAAAGCTCTTGGTAGTAACGAACCATATAAAATAATGGTTCTAAAGGGCATGGGCAGGTTTGGGTTTGAATTCTGGCAGAATTCATACCAGCTGTGTGACCTTGAGAAAGTTGCTTAACCTTTTAGAGCTGTTTCCTTGTAAGACAAGATGATCTCCAGGCTGTGTCCAGGCCTACACTTCAATGACACTTACCTAGAATGAGCTAAATAACCACGAGTTATCTTCTTATTTAAAAGAAAAGACAATTCTGTGTAAAAGAAAACAATAATTTATTCCTCCAAGGACATAAAATTTTATGAACTGAAAAAAGAACAACTGAATGAACCAGTGACCATCGTAACCGTGCTCATCCCGGTATAGTTCCTCACACAGCCACATGCCCTCGGTGGCCCAGGTCAGTGTGGTCAAGTCCTTCATGGTTATTATAGCGACTGCTGAATATTTAAAGTGACTCATTTTTATTGAAACTTGAATCAAGATCACTTTTATATGTCAGTTAAATCTATAGATAAATTTTGCCAACCCCCCCCACCAAATAAAAGTTGTTCTGCTCAAATTTGAAACAGTTGATAAAAATATGGTAAGTAGATTTTTTTTTTCTACCCAAAATGTTTCTGTCATCTGGTTTGAAGTAGAAAAACAAATGTCTATGAGAACTGTGATTAGCAGAGTGACTTGTTTTGGGAATTTTGGAAAACCAAGTATTTTAAAATACTTTTATTTTGTCCTATGTATGGAGAAAATACTCGGATGGAAAAGTGGTTATTATTCCATGTGTGAGGCCCAGTCACCTGAACGCTTTTCAGGACTGACAGAGCACCGCAGAGCAGAGGGACCTCCACATGGGGAGCCCAGGAGATACACCCTCTGGTGTGGCTGTCAGCTCAAGGGGGACGATACCTGGAATCCTCTGAGGATCAATGCAAGCAAACAGAGCAGGCAGCACAGCAAGAGAGAGAGGTTAGGGAGCAAGGAGGTCACCTAAGGACGGAGCATGGAGCATACACCCCAGCCTCCTACAGAGCTGTAGATGTACAAAGTACCAATTACTCTAGTTACCCTATGAACTAAGCAAAACCAGAGTTATCTTTCCATTTTCAGGTAATGAAGCTCTCTTGTCCATGGCCACATGGGAGGCAGCAGAACTGATACTATAACCTGGGTTCAGCACTAAGCCCCAGTCTCATCTGCCATGTACTCGCTTTCCATTAGGGAGTTTCTGAGTGATAATGTAGGCATCTCCGGAGCCGTCTTTCTTTCTAGCCTCCTGCTACATAGTAAGATGGCCTCTAAGCCAGGCAATGACCCACCATCACCCAGCTCCTCTCTGGCCACTGTGTGGAGGTGGAAGGGCCAGGGAAGGTTCTCAAGGGCAGCGTGGACGTGAGCACTCACCGAGGCAGAGAGCTGTACTGGCGCTGGGCCTGCTGGAAGCTCTCGCGCTCCTCCTGTCGCTGGCGCTGCATCTGCACCTCCACTGACACTGAGTGCCGGCCGCTGGGTGCCGAGGGTCGGGAGCTGGGCTACAAGGGGAAATGCAAAATAATCACAAGAAGGGAATCACTTGGATTCCTACAGATTGACTTAGAAACATTTGGCAAATTCTGTGAAATTTAGAAAAATCAAGAGCAATGTTCTTAAGTTTGAGAAAGCAGACATCTCATTGCTCTCATGAGCCCCAAATACTGAATCATCTTACTGATTATGACTTTAGAATGGCTAGAAATGGAGAGATCAACCTTTCTAAATGTTCTTAATGAGGTTTGGCAAACCGTGATATCAGATACCAGTCTGTATCCATGTATACAGAGCAAACAAGAATTTGATGCCAAGTAAATAAAAATTTCCTACAGTAATTCAGAAAAGAAGAAAGGTTCATGGGGTGCATATATGAAAGTTAGCCGTGGTGGTGAATGTTTTTGATAATTACATATTATAGTTTAACAGGAGGATATGATATAAACTGATCCCCCTGTTCCTAAATATTGACAGTTAAATTTTGAACCAAGATTAGCTGAAACTAGCCACTGTTAGCCAAGTACAGGTCTCCTCCAGTCCACAGATGGTAGCCAAATAGGGAATAGACATGCTTATCAAAAGAATAAACCTGAAAGCTAACAGCTACTTGAGTTGGTTATGAGATAAGACCTTTTGCCTTAGTGACTAGGAAATGGCATTTTTACCTAAGTTAATTGTATCCTATAGAGAAATGCTCAGTCCTCCTGGCTAAACACTTTGGTCAGCAGGTCCTCTGCTGACTGCCTCATGCCCAAATCAGATACTGGACATGTACACTCTGGTGCACAGCTCAAGCCCTGTGAATGCTCTAGCTCCTCACTGGCAGGTTCTAGCTTACCTTCTAGAGCTGGCCTTCTGAAACGAAAGTAGCTCTGCTTAATGTAGAAATAAATGCATCTAATGCTACAATTACCCAACAACGGTTTAACATAGCATCACTGGCATACACTCTTAAATAATCCTTTCAGTGCATGCTAACCTGTCTCCCCCTTGGTGTTATGCAATGTTGTGCAACAGGCATATTCTGGGTGAAGAATGTCTGTTAAGGACAAGTTACTGATTTTTCCTTTTAGAGTTGGAAGCGAATGGCAGACTTCAATGATAATAATTTTTTAAAACAATAAGACTCATAGCATTCATTTGAAGGAGCTGCAAGAAAGCACGTGGGCTTGTTACTTAAAGATGGCTCCTGTAGTGGGCTTTTGTGTGAACAGCAAGCAAGCATCATCTATTACCCTCTTTCTGCCTGGCCAGCATTATCTTATTTGTTTGTAAGCAATAACATGGCAATATACAGGACAAAAATTTCAAAGCATATAGGCATAGTCAGTGAACATATTAAAAATATCCTCATGCAAAAATAATGTGTGGAGAGATTAGGCTTTACAATACCCTAGTTTCTACTAGTGGGTGTTTATAGCCACACTCATTGGAACAAATGTGTGTTTAGAGACCCTCTCCACAACACCGGTCAAATAACACATCAATGGTGCCTATAGCAAGGACAGCACTTCACTAAGTGAGTTCACTTACACAAACAAAGCATCAACCAAGTGTTCAACTGCATTAGAAGACAGTCATTTTCTTCCATTACACTGGATGAGGCTTGCCAAACAGGAAACCGAGCTATTCTAGTTTCACGGTGAGCCAGGGTCTCCTGAGAGAAGCCACTGGACAGAGAGAAAGCAAAGCAAAAAAAAACTTCCTAATTTTCTTCACGCCCTCAAGAACAACCACATTTCCTTTCCTTTTCACTCAGAATAAGCTAGATACATGTGTCAAGCAGCCTTGAGTGATCTGGCACCCTGCTGCAAGATTCCATAACCAGCTTTGTAAGCTCACACTGTTCTGTGACACACTGCTGTGGGCATGTAAAAAGAAAATGCAACATCTTGTAGAAATTTCAGGGGTATTTTCAAGTTGTTTCCTCAAGAAGCCTGAAAATTTGATTCTGGTAGAGAAATAAAAACGTTGAAGGGCTTTGTTTCCTCAACTGCCTCAAAGAAATGCCTATTTCCTAGGCTGTTCACCTCAAATCTTGTGAGCAGCAGTCATCTAGCTGCACCCTCATGAACTCCACCAAAGAAATGATCATCAGATGGCATCTGAAAGCTTAAAATGAGTGAATGAGTTTGGTATGAGCATATTGACCTATTTCGTACTATTTTGCTCAGAATGAGAAAAATGGCTTACCATTAGAATTTTACTCAATTTCTCTTTTCAGAGCATACAAAAGGGTTGGTTATTAAAATAAACCACCCATATCTTTATGATAAAACTTTATTGGGCCACAGATTTCAAGGAAGATTGTATACATGACTAGCTTAAAGCAACAACTATATAAAAGTTCATCTGGATGGTTTTATACTTGGCCTGAATAACAAATAACCTCGTTCATGATTTCATTGACAATCTCATAAAAATGTACATTGTGGGACCAGAGCTACAATCAACAACCCTGACTTTTAAATACTGTGGTTTTTCATCCCTATGGCAGAAATAGGGTAATGTATCAAGCGTCCCAAATTACAAAAACATAGACAGAAATGAAGAAAGATACAATTTGTATCCCCAGAGAAAAGTGCATGTTTTTGAAGAAAAAAACATTAACAGCTACAACAACAAAGTGACATCTATACAGAGAAACACACAGATAAAGCATAACTGGATTAATTCTGGAGATTCATCGGATAACAAGGCAATAACTCTGTTTTAAGAGTGCAAAGTACAAATAACCCTGGCCTTTTTGTTGATGATACTGGTGACAAGCAATGATCTTTCAAGTAAAAAAGAAAAAAAAATTGCTGAAGTTGCCAAGGCCATATGACAGAGGGTGTCAGATGAAACAGTCCATGATTATCTATTACACAGTGCGCTGAAGGGCCGTGGTGAGTGAATCTTCCCATGGCTGATGTTTAAGCCCCAAGAGAAAACTATGCGCATGGCTTCTGTAAATGAGCTCTAAACTACTGGACTTTATTAAAGAGATACTATTTAAACTATATAAAAATTACATAGAGGTTGGGAAAGCTACAGAATTTTGGTATCACTAATGTAAAACAAAATAAAAAATATCTCCTATATAGTGCTTCATAAAATTGAGTCATTAACTAAGCATTTCTCCCAGTTAAATAAAATCACTCATATTTTTCTAAAATTAAAATAAACAATAGAAAATACATGAAACCAAAACTGCTGGTAGTTAATAGATTAAAAAAAGAATAAAAATAAATACGTACAGTACAAAGTTTCAGTACTAATGAAAAATAGGTATGATAATATAAATTTTTTAGAGGTTAATATAAAAGTATATGTGCCACTTATGAAATAAAATTCATTGCTGATTTATTATTTATATAATATTCATTAATTTTTAAATGTTCTAATTTTCCTTCATATAGATTAAAAACAATAACATAAGCATATATTCATGCACTTGTATGTAGTCACATATACACGCATACGTAATAGTCTTATAAATGACAATTTAGGTGAATTTTCTACTTTTGAGAATAAAATATTCTCAGATTTTCATATATGTGCCAGGGCATGCAGAAAACAAAAACAGAACACACAAGCGTGTGCGCTGTGGGTGAGCCTATGGTGAAGGCGATGATGAGAATGGTGAGAGTGACAATGAGAAAAAGAATAACGATATCCCCTTGGGACCTACAATCCTTAGTTGAGCGATTCAAATGTGCTGTAGCCCTCATTCCATTCCATATTCCAATATATAAATGTAATTTAAAGATCTGGCAGAGGGTAAAAATTTTTATGCCACCGAATCATATAAAGAGTATAAACAGTTTACTCTGGTTAAGAGTGGTCATTGCTAAAATGGCTCGTCATTTTCTACAGCAGGCTTATTTATATCTTTAGTCCAAAGTTAACTTTGTCTATTGATCCTGCCCTCCCAGCCCTGCACCTCTACCCCATCACCGGCTATACTTAGACAACTATCGACTGAACTCATGAAGGCTGTGAATGTTGAAAAGCTTAATTGCTACTAATGATGTGAGTAATGGTTGAAAAATCTGCAGAGCATGCCAATTTCCCTCATAAAGCTTTTATAAATACATGTTTGGGTTTTAACATACTATTTGTCTTCATCTCATTTTTCCCAACCAGTGTTTGGATCTATTTTCCCCCCTCTTAAGTAGCAGCTTCATTGAAAAAAAAAACAGGGTAGTTCTACAAGCAAGCCCCCACCCCAGTGCGGCAGGCTCACAGCAGCCTTACGAGCCTCTCTCACCACAGGCCCCTCCTGGTAAAATGGCTGGTGGGTCACTTTGACCAACAATTGGGGGAAGGGGCTACAAGAAAAGGAGCCTGCTTTGCAGAAGCACAGAGGTTTTTGCCATGAGGAAAGAATACCCCTTTGCTGTGAGAATGGCTTTCTCTAGGCCGATTTCCAAGGGAGGTGACTTCCACCCAAGCTGAACTAAAGTACCACTACTGCAAGGCTGTTAACTAAGAAGGCATTTTTTTAGTCAAATTATGGACACCCACTATGAGGAAATGACAACAGATACCTCTGAAGTCTTAAGAAAGATGAAAACATAAAACCATTATTTTCTCAAATACCCCAGGCACTTGAGGGGTGCAGGGTGACTGTGTACTGTAGATTGACTCTCTAATTAAAGCAGACAAAACCTTACAATAGTAAGAGGAGCCACTGAAAGTCTCAGACAGATTTTTAAAAAAAATTTGTTTAAAGGCAGACATCTTGGAAGAAAGCTTGGAGGAGAAGAGGATATTCACATCACAGAGGACCAATTTTCTATCTGAAGAACTAAACTACTCTCAGTCACTACCAACCTGGGATGGGAAGGATTTAGCAATATTGCTATAAAAGGCTCCATTATCCCATCCATCAGTCGTCTCAGCCAGCAAGTCTCCTTGTGGGCAACACTTGGGTATTTGCAAAGTTTTAACAGCGTTCTATACTTAGGTCTGCAGCTTGCAATTTAATTCTTTTAAGAGCAACACTAAGTCCTGTCCATATCTGAGCTCTGTGATAATAACCCTAACCTCATTCCATTATCTTAGGAAAGACTTACAGCAACTTGCTGCTTTATTTATGTTGCACCTGGCACTATGTGGAGAAGAAGTTCCTTTTTTTGCTTCTTCTCTTACTCAACTTGGGAGAGAATTTAGTTCAATTGTGGAGCTGAGGAAATTTTCTGGGCCTCTGCTTATCTAAAGACCTTTGGTGCCACAAATCAGCTCCTTCAGGCTCAAACATTATTTTGAACAAAAGCCCAGAAACAGGTGCATTCCATACTGCTAGAGTTTAGAGAGAATATTTTGAAAATGGATGAACTGAAAAGGGCTACTTGCATTAATTTTCTACAGCCTCTCTCTGTATGTAAAGTAATTGGCTTGGATATTTTTCTATATGATACATCTGGTTGCACTTTGTGTGTGGGCATTTCTAACAAGCATGGCAATTTCAACTAATATGGTCTAAGTTGTACACAGCTGGAAGATGAGCTTGTGGTTCCTTAAAACAAAAATGATTACAAACCATTCCAGTGGGTGAAATCACGGTCTCACCCTTTCCAAACATAGTGACCTTTCAAGATCAGAATATATACAGGAAAGAAAAAAGATTTCAAAATACTCAAAGCTCAGTTTGTAAAACACATTAATAAAAACCATAGATCAAGCTACACTTGGAATAAGCAAGCAGCCCTTATTAGGGCAACAAGAATTGCTATGAAAATTAATACATTAAGAAGAATTATAGTCACTTTAAGCTCATTTACATGACCAGGAAAATGGAGAGTATACAGCAAAATCTCAACTGTTTGAAAATAAAATAAATACAAAGGAAAGGTCAAATTCTGACCTACAATTTAGGAAATTATTCCATTCCTAAAGTAATCAGCCTGTCATCCAAATAATTCCCTACCCACTTATTACAGGAAATGATAACAAAAGCCGAATTGTCTAAAGTTGCTATGGCATTTTGCTATACAATAATTTGACCTATGATTTTCAGTAGTTGAGTTTCTAAATCCAGAAGATTTTGTCGAACATTTTTCCTAACATGATTGTTCATATTAAGTAGATAATATAGAAACATATGTCAGCATATCCATGACCCCCTTTAAAAAAATAAAGAAAACAAAATGGATTATCAAATCATTTCCACATCTCTCAATGAAAAACATCTAGAGCTAAAAAGTAGGAAATGCTCCTTTAGCCTCAAATAAACTTGGAGATGTTGCATGTGGATACACTGTCGTCAACCAGAAATAAATCGAATCAATCTTGGTTCTCAACCTTGTATATTTAATATACATTCCAGCTTCAAAGAGGCATTCTTTCAAGCATTCCTGACCACTAACAACTGACTTGGGCATGGTTCTCTGTGCTCAACAGTCTGCGCATACCCCTGTTATCACCTGAACAGATGCCTTTCCTTTGTACCAGAGCTCCACTGTGGGGTTCTAAGGGCATTCTTTTTCTTTCTCATCTTTCTTTTCTAGCACGAAACCTAATGACTACAACATAGGAAGCACTGAAGAAACTTGGTGAATGAAATAATTAAGAATAAATGGTGTGAATGTGCTGGTTTGAAATCCACATTCCCAGGAAAGGCAAAATGGTGTCACACTGCTCCACATGTTACGAGAAGGGGAAGGAGAAACCCATGAGAGATTCTGCAAGTTGAAGCAGTTGTGTGTGAGCATCATTTCCATACTCAGTTGCTGTTCTCTCCTTCAAGTTACCCTGTCCTCATTACATTTTTCAGACACACACAGTTAATGGTGTTTTTGAGCGAATATACACAGTTAAAGATGTTTCCCACATATCACAAAAGAAGCCTACTTGAGTCAGTTATGCCCAACAATATCTTTTATGTTGTTACATGGAAATGACTCAATTTACTTGATCAGCTAGAAAAATGAGCTGCATATTTTACTAAAATACCATTAATAGTAATCTTGTTACAGGACAATTAGAGATTTCTTTTGATATTAAATCTGCTGTATTTGCTTCATTACATCCCAAAGTTAGGTTAGGATTGATTTCATAAGTTTTCACTAGTGGGTGTTGGCCTCATGTTGCCAATTGCCTGTTCTAAGGCCCAATCTTCCTCACCTTACCCACAGTGAAATCTGCCACACTGGTAATGGTTCTCCCATTGTTTGGTTTTCTTTCACTCACAAAATTCATCTTCCACCAACTCCAATTTGATCACCAAATCCCATGATCAAAAACCTTCATAATTCTCTGGCCTCGTGTAAAGTATATTGAGGATATTGAATTTTAAGATCAAAGAGAATCTCAGGGATGATATAAACTCTATGGCAGTGCTTCTCAAAGTTGAACATGTTTCAGAAAGACTTGGAGGGCTTATTAAAATAAGATTCCTGGGCCCCACTGGTAGAGGTTCGGATCTAGTAGGGCTGAAGCAGGACCAGATTGGGAACATTTCTAACATGCTCCCAATGCTGGGAATGTGCTGGTCTTGGACCACACTTGAAGAAGCTCTACTTCCATCTGCTTTATTCTATACACTGGACTTCCTCTTACGTGTTCATTCTAACAAAGGGTTGAATAACACACTCAGTCATCTACTTTAACCCTGTTGGTCAACTAATAAGGAAACGAAGGCCTGGAGAGCTGGTCCCCTGGCTAGTGGGGCGGTGTCCTGTTTTGACTTCAGCCTCCTTCATGCCTTCACTCTCACATTAAAGGCTCACACTACATTTCTACCTTTCTTTCTTCTCTACATCACAAATCTTTCATTTCTGCATTAGCTGGGTCATTTACCCTCCCCCAACCAATGCAGGATCACTTTTTTTTTTTTTTCTACTTCAAGTCTTTCCTAACACCATCCTTCTTTCTGCCTCTACTCTCCTAAATATCTACTGAAATTATATTTCCAACACTTTGAACCAAACTCATTCACTTTTTAAAAAATCCTCACCTGATGATATGCTTATTGATTTTAGAGGAAGGAAGAGAGAGTAGAAGGAAGACAGAGAGAAAGAGAGAGAAACATCAATGTGAGAGAGAAACATCGATTGGTTGCCTTCCATATGTGCCCAACTGGTGATGGAACCTGCAACCTAGGTATGGGCCCTGACCAGGGATTGAATCCATGATCATTTGGTGTATGGGATGACACTCCAACCAACTAGGCCACCTGGCCAGAGCTCATGAACATTTTTGACCCTACTCTCTATTCTACTTCAGGAATTCACATGCATGGAGGGCACACCTTGGACTTCATCATCACCCAGGACCGGGCCATATTCGAGATCCTCAACTCCCAAGAATACGCTGTCTTGACAATAGCTTTCTAGTTTTTACAACCCCCATTCTTCTGACCATTCTTGCATCTTCCAAGCCAATCTGGGTAATCCTTCCATGAGCTATATTTACTATACTATCCAGGCTGGGTGATGCTTCACCTGCATCTTCACCAGGATTCTAAAGTATCTTCCTTGACTTTCTGCTATGTTTGTCTTGCTAATCCCCATCATAGAATTAATCTAAAAAATTGTTTCTTCTATTGCCAGTCCTCTAAGAATTGCTGGTTACGGTCACATTACCATGTTGATAGGGCCTTACTAATACTCTCAGGTAGATTTTCTTGCCTCAAGCAGCCTATTTATTCACCCCTAATTGACTCTCTCTCAGATTTCCAAAGAGATTTTTCAAAATTCCTGTAATTTTGAAGCCCCAAGTCTGCTCTGACACCTCCTGTTCCCAGGAGTGCCGTCCTCTCTAAGGATGAATATAAGACGGAGAAGCATGACTCTAGGGCAAGACCGAGGAGTATTAACATGCTACACTGTGCAATTTGGGCTATATCTTGTGGGCATTCAGAGGCCATTCAAAGTTTTGCTTTAGAGCACCCTGGCAATTGTGTGGAGGATGAACAAGAATAGGAACAGAGGCAGACAAATGAGAGGGATTCAGCAAATACACAAAGGGGCTGTGGAAGAATGATGAAAAAAGAATTACTAAATAATGTGCTTTCATATTTTGGAATAGTAGATACGCAACAGACATGTGTTGAGCTAATTTATTCTGGCTCTGATTCTGAGAAAAGTATATATAGAAAAATATTTACTGAACTTAAAAACATGCATAATTGAGAGCAAGAATACTTTTGCTATGTCTTGTCATAAGGCAAATGAAACCTATTGTGCAATGGACAGATGGTGCAACAAGATGTAAAATGAAATTAGCAATGATGAAACCCAGATGGAAATGAGGGAAAAGGTCAATATGTTAAAGGTCAAAGGAATTTGGCTCCATCTTGTCTCGTTTCATAAAGGACTGAATTCATAGCTTAGTGGCTTTTAATGCAGAAAGTTGCAGGAATATCCATTGTACCAATGAACCAAACTTACCCAGGGTTGTTCAAAGCTATAGGTACGTCGCCGATCTTCTACATCTTCATCCTGCTTTGCTTGCTGGAATTCCTGCCGCAGACGCTGTATCCGATCATGGTTGCTAGGAGTTGCTCTGTTGCTAAAAGAAAGAAGGGCAACAATGAACACCCTTCACAAATACAATCTGTGACCTGCAATTACTAGGGAAAAAATGGTATCTTGCTGGGAAATGAGGCTATTTAAGAGGAAGTGAATTTTAAAAACAATATCATGGCACTTAAAAATATGTTTTTATTTTGATTAAGACTTATTGAAGTTATTTCAGACAGATATTCACAAGAGGGTGAGCAGCAATTTCAGACATTCCTTTTTTATGCAATTCTGTAAAAGCCTCATTTCCTTTCTGTAATGTGGCAAGGTGTTGGCAGCAAAATTTTTTGGGAGAGAACACTGAATTAAAAGTCAGAAATACCAGGGTCCAGTCCTAGCTTCTCCACGTTCCCAGACTAAGACACTTAATACCTCTGACCTGCAGTTTCTTTATATATATGAAGTGGATATAATAATCATTTTTGCTCTAAATATTGTACTGGTAAGAATCAAGTGAGATAATACCATGCAGTATAGTCTTAGAGTACTATTTTCATAATTCCATTACATGAAGTTCCTATTTATGAGCTACCAGAGGTCCATGTGCAAAATGCAACTCTCAGAGCAAAAATGAAAAGCATTTCAAAAATAACTTCAGGTGCTAGTTTGCTCTAATCAGTTCATAATGATGTTGCCTTCTTTTTTCTAGCACTGAATTTTGCTTTATCCTCACAAAAGCTTCTAAGATAGGTTCAGAAGGCAGTATTTCACACACACATACACCTCAGTGTAGAAACTGTCATTCAAAGAAGATAAGTGACATTTTAGAAGCCTCCCAGCTGCACAGTGGGGAAAGTAAGACAAGAATCCAGATTTTTCAGGGTTCTGGCCCAGCTCTCATTCCACTACGCCCTGTTATGTCACTTAATAAAACACATATTGTACTCCAAAGCCACTTTTTAATAAAATCATACAAATTTAAAAAACAAGTTTGCAAGAGTAATAGAGATGACCAAAATTAAATCAAACTTAAAAATTTAATGCCACTTTGGGTCTCTTCCATTCCTGGAGCACTAAGTTGCATCCTATCAATAAAGCTATTTAAGAAATTTAGGCATATATTTTCTCCTCAAAAAGACTTCAGACCTCTTGAGGACAAGGACCAACTCTTATATTTATCATACATTCCCTTGAGCTGCTAGCAGAATAGGAAGCTGTAGGCTGTTAAAAACATGAGGTCTCTTCATTGAAAACATATTGTCTTGGTAACTCAGTGTGTATCTGAGATCCTTTGGCTGCACTCACCCCTGGGTGATAAAATTTAGGTTAGAAAAACAAAGTCAAACTTTGGGTCAAGAAGGAGGTGTAGGTAAACACAGCTCACCAACTCGCATGACCACAGCAAAATTACAACTAAACTACAGAATAACTATCACTCAGAACCATCAGGAAATTGAGCTGTATGGAAGCCCTACAACTAAGGAATCAAAGAAACCACATTCATCCAGACAAGTAGGAGGACAGAAGGGGTGGATAAAAATCAGAAAGGATATCTCTGGAATGAGAGATCCCAGCCCAACACCAGATCACCCACCCCAGGGTTCCAGTGTCAGGAATGTAAGTTCCCATAACTTTTGGCTGGAAAACCAGTGGTGGTTGGGTCAGTGAAAGAAACTGCAGAAGTCTCAGACATCTTCTCTTACAGAGCCCCACACATGGATTTACTCAGATTCACTCCCTCAGGGCTCCAGCACTGGAGCAGCAGCTGGAAGGGCATAAGTGGCATATGGGGAGGAAATAAAGTGTCTGGCATCAGGGCGAGGGCTGGGGGATACTTTCCTCCTGGAGAGATTGCATGGAGTGGCATTGTTCCTTTTTTGAGCCTTCCCCCACACAGAGCCACAGTGAGGAGTCACCTTATCTAAGACTCCATCTACCTGGCTCAAATGGTTTGCCCCATCCTGGCCATTACCTAAGTTCGACCCCATTCTAAATTACAGGCCCCCCTCACAATTAGTTAGCAGTAGGTTTTCCATATGAATAGTCTGGTTTGGTGAGGCTTCGGACCTTCCTATATCCACTCAAACAAGCAACAGCTGAACCCAGTCCCTGTAATTCTCACTAAGTGGCCCCAAGCCCGGCACTAGCAGCAGCCCCCTATAGATCACTTTATAGTTTATGCCAAGTAGGCCTAGACAGAACACAGGTCAGGGCTGACCTTGGCCTGCGCCATGTAGGAAACCCCACAGCCAGCCTGTGCACCCAGTTGGCAGTTACAGACCATGACAGAGCACCACCACCAAACTACCTCCACAAGCCATGGAGGGAGGTGATTGGTGGCCAGTGGTCATAGCCAGTCCTACCAGCTGACGAGACTGGTTAAATCCCTCCCATTGACCTGCTGACAGTAATCAGACTCGAATACAAGAGAAGGGAGTACTTAGCCCACATGGAAGGTGCATCTTGAGAACCCAACTTAGGTGATAGGGGAGGCTGTGCCACTAGACCCTACAGGACACCTACTACTTTAGGCCATGCTGCCAAAGACAGGGAATCAAAGCAACCCTACCTAATACATAGAAACATCACAAGGAGGCTGCCAAAATGAGGAGACAAAAAAACATGGCCCAGATGAAAGAAGAGAACAAAACTCGAGAAAAAGAACTAAACAAAATGGAAATAAGCAATCTATCAGATGCAGAGTTCAAAACACTGATTATAAGGATGCTCAAGGAACTCAGGGGGTACTTCAACAGCATAAAAAGGACCCAATCAGAAATGAAGGATACACTAATTGAAATAAAGAGCAATTTACAGGGAATCAACAGCAGAGTGGATGATGGTGAGAATCAAATCAATGATTTGGAACATAAGAAAGGAAAAGACATAGAATCAGAACAGCAAGAAGAAAACAGAATCCAACCCCCCCCCCCCCCCCCCCAGCATACTGTAAGGAGCCTCTGGGACAATTTCAAGCATACCAACATTCCTATCACAGGGGTGCCAGAAGGAGAAGAGAAAGAGCAAGAACTTGGAAATCTATTTGAAAAAAATAATGAAAGAAAACGTCCCTAATTTGGTGAAGGAAATAGATATACAAGTCCAGGAAGCACAGAGAGTCCCAAACGAATGAATGCAGAGAAGATCACACCAAGGCACATCATACTTAAAATGTCAAAGGTTAAAGATGAGAGAATTGTAAAAGCAGCGAGAGAAAAGGAGATAGTATCTACAAAGGTGTTCCCATAATACTGTCATCTGATATCTCAAAAGAAACTTTGCAGGCTAGAAGGAACTGGCAAGAAGTGTTCAAAGCGATGAAAAACAGGGACCTACAACCTAGATTACTCTATCCAACAAAGCTATCATTTAGAATGGAATAGCAAATAAAGTGCTTCTCAGACAGGGTAAAGCTGAAGGAGTTCATAATCATCACCAAGCCATTATTTTATGAAATGTTAAAGGGGCTTCCTTCAGAAAAAAGAAGATCAATACTATGAACATTGAAATGGCAATAAATACATAACTAACAACAATGTAATCTAAAAAACTGAGCAGAACATAAACAGAATCATAGATATGGAGATCATTTGGAGGGTTATCAGTTGGGAGAGGGGTTTGGAAGAATGGGGTAAAAGGTGAAGGGATTAAGAAGCACAGATTGGTAGGTATAGAATAGGCAGGAGGATGTCAAGAACAGTAGAGGAAATGAGTTGCCAAAGAGCTTATATGCATGACCCATGGCCTTGAGCAGGGGATTGCTGGAGGGAGTGGGGGGTGCTGGGTGGAGGGAGGCAAAGTGGGAAAAATTGGGACAGTTTGTAATAGCATAATCAATAAAATACAATAAGGAAAGCAAGTCTTCCATAGCAAAGTATATTTTGAAGAATCCCAAAGGCTTAGGAATCTGAAAATATTCATGTATAGGGCCAAAGTATTAACATCTTCCATGAATATAGGATAGTCTTTCACCATTTGATATATGCAGTGGGTCCCTATCACCTTTATGTTTCTATCAATTTAATTAGAGCTTCTGGAATGTCTTGTTAACATATTCAATTTGGTTATTTTCCTAGTCAATGAAATCTTGTTTTCCCTTTGTTCTTCTTCTGGCAAATCTTTGGAACTGATTAGCTTGAGAACATTAAAGATTAATGGGTCTATAAAGTGTGCTACTTGACAACACGAGGCTTCAACCTGTATTTAGATATAGCTTCAAAACTTGCCCTCCACATTCTTCAGCCAGGCAGTATACTATTCCTACTGGCTTTTAAAACACATTTGTTCAAGCAGATGCATTTTCTGTACTGGCTTCCAAGTATAGCGCCCAGTCTATAACTCTTTACTCTGTATGTGAAACTGCGTTGGTGAAGGCATGAGGGTTGGTACACTTACAAGACAAAGAGGTAGAAAAGTGAGCATTCATTAATCTCATTGTCATTTTTCCAGCTGTACCTTTTTCTATCCTGGCATAGTTCATAGCTTTTAATAGCAGAATTGTAGGAGGCTTGACCAACAGAGTACTTTACAAATCTAACTATAAATATTTATTATTTTCATGTGGCACAAACAGCTTTGATCCCAAAATTATTAGACTCATGAAGTCCAAACCATTGATGATAAATGACTTCCTCCTATTTGGATTAATTGAAAGTGTATCTGCCAACAAAAGAAGTTGACTCACTGCCCTTAATTTTAAATTCTGATGACTTTAGTGTTTTTCATACTATAAGATGAGTTCTGGAAGTCACTTCCTCCCTTATTTCCAAATCTGAGCAGCACGTGAGACTACCATTGCATATTCTTTTCCTTTCTTCCTATGCTCTAGAGAACACCAACCAACTTGCCTATGACAGGAAAGCCACTCTAAGGGTTGAAATTGGAAAGCAGGCTGCAATGGTTTTCATGATTGTTGATGACTTCCAAGGAATTGACCAACCAGCGTCCTTGGGGAAAAACAGCTGGCATCTGAAGGTGAGATCTTGGCTTCAGGAGATGGAACCACCACAGAGGCTCAGGCCTGTTTCCCAGGCCAGTCTATAATGACTC